AGAATATTGCAAGTGCAGAAAGTTCTTACGATTTGGTTGGTTTGTTTTTATTTTTTTTTTTTTTTCCAGAAGGCACTTTTTTATACTTCAGTGTTGTCATTATGGATAATTTTACTTGGAAACCTGTATAGAAGAATTTTATTTTCTTTGACAATGGCAGAAAAATAGATTGCTATCAGTATTAAAAATAAAAGGTGTTTTTCAATGAAATGTTAAATTCTTAACTTAGGGATTTTTTTTTTCTTTTTTAATGTGGATGAAGTAACAATTTTTTTAATGTGGATAAAGTAATAAAGTCCCATTTGTTTACCTGAGTAAAACACTATAAAAGTCTCTGTTGAAGATTTATCACTTTTTGTTTTACCTTTATGCTGGTGAAAAAACCCACCACCAAAGCCCCTAAAAAAACCCTGCTTTTGTTTGTAAATTCTATGAGATTCTCTGATTAACATTAATGATGAAAAATATTTTGATTTCCTAAGATGTTATTGTGAATTTCAAAATGCTGTAAAAAGGTAACTTCTAAAGACTTTGTTTTTCTTTACCATTTTCAGGACACACAATGGTCTGTTTATTGAAATGATTCCTCCAAAGTCTTACGGTATAAACACCTGTCAACATACTTGCTCACTGATCTTTCTTAAGAAATATGTATGTATCTATATGGAACTGCATTGACCACAGATGTATTTCAGACCTCACTGCTTATTCATGCTCCATGGTGATAGGTGATAAGGAGTAATTCAGTGAGTGAGCAGAATTCATGAGTATTGAACCACAGAGACAGTTCTGGTTGTTTAGGTTTTTGTTTTGTCTACTTTTTATACTCTTTATTAATACTACGGAAAAAAAAAAAAAGCACATGTGCTTACTCAGTCTAGCAGAAAACACCATAGTATGTATTTAACATCTGTCCCATTATAACTTTTGAAAGGAAAAAAAAAGAATATTCCAGTTAGCAGGTGTCCATGATTATTTCAGGCAGACTTGACATAACTAATTTGTAGAGGTATCTGTGTTTTGACTTGTCACCAATGGCAGTTCCAATGCTTTTTTCCTGGTGGAGATTTCTACTGAGGACTGCTGGGCACGTGTGCTGTCTCTTTCTGTTGTGTTACTGTGCCAGACATGCTGCTAACGTATGCTCTCCATACTTTGTGCAGGAGGGAAATAAGCCTCAGAAAGATTTTACCAAGGATTATAAAGCTATAGTGGGTGCAGACACCAAGGTTAGTGCTGCCCCTGTTTGACTGTGAATTTGCTGTTCAAACTTAAGCAAGAAGACTGACGTTATGAATCAGTATGAATGCAGGCTTCTGCTTTGTTGAATATTCTAGTATGTTAGCGCTCTTTATAAGAGCAGGAAAATATAAGGAGCTTCAGGTTTTGCTTCAGGCTAACGCAGTGTGTTCAGATTTTGTCTCAGCTTCTTCATTGCTCTTTGCTGTAGTCAATTTCCATGTCTCTACCTCATGTTTGTTCCTAGCTGTCCTTCAGCATGACTGAACTGTTACTGTATTTTTTGTGTCATCACAATATGTCCTTGATTTATTTACCCAGATCTCTATTAACTGAGTTATACCACAGAACCGTGTAATACAGCCACACTAGTATTTTTTAAATACTTGTGAAAATTCATCATACTAGCTAGCATTTGTCCCTGCCCATGGCAGAGGGATGTAACTAGATTTGTAAGGTCCATTCCAACCCAAACTGTTCTATGATTCTGTGATGTTCTGGGAACCCTCTCTAGACATAAGCAACATCTTCAAAGCATTTTAGTTTATTTATTTATTTGATTATTTATTACTGAAATTTTCTTGGTCTGTATTTACACTCTTGTTTTCTTTCACATATTTGTGTGTTCAAGAAAGTCAGTATATTTTAATCACGTATTGCACCATCTTTGCAGAAGAGGTAATAGAATTGTACACTAATCAACCTGCAAAATAGGACAAGGGAACAGGCCTTAAACTCTTCACAAAGAAGCCACAGTATAATACACACTCTGAGCACTGCAGTAGAAAACATCTCATTATAGGTTTTACATTATTTTATAAGTAATTTAAAAGACATTATTGTAATAATTTTCAGACAATTTTGAAAAAGTAGAAATAATGTGTATTTTTATGATAATTTGGGGCAAATATTCTTGTCTACAATTGTTGAATGTTTTATTTGGTTTTGTGGATTTTGCTTAACCTAGTAGATCCCTCTCAAAATGCTACTTAGCATATATTTGATGATGAGAATAGATGATGTGGCTATGCAGAATATTCTATCATTCATTGTATTCAGAGACCAAATTTTTTCCAGCAGTATTGGAAAATAATTAGATAAACGAGAAACAATAGAGAGAAGATGCTGTAAAAGCTATTTAATTTTAAGGTTCTTTGTGCTTTTTTAAATTACTTTTTTTTTTTAACATCAGTTAACACTCATATCTGAGTCGGAATACATGGAATTAATTATAATTAAATATACAGTGAATTATATAGTGAATGATAGTATTTGGGATTAGTATTGAACCTATACCATCTTCCTTTGTTATGAAGTACAAAATAGCACTGCAAAATTTATACTTCTGTAAAAATACCTTTAGGGAATTCAGTAAGGATTATAAATAATTTAACTCTTTTTACAGGAATCCTGTTGACCATACTGCACAGAAGGTTCCACTGGTACATATTTGTTTTTCAGAGAGTGAAGCATTGCCACTGAATTTTTTCTTTTTTCTTTCTTTTTTTTTGTCTCTTTTTCATATATGCTTCTAGTAACCTATTATTGGAAACAAAATTGGGCTAGTTGAACAATCTCCAATATAATTTGGAAAATCATGGTAAACAAACTTGAGTGAATGTATTGTTACAATTCAGTATAATATCACAGAAAGAAATATTGCATTGTGCAAAGAGAAGGTACTAAGAATGAATTTGGCTTCTTATTGTATAATATCACAGAAAGAAATATTGCATTGTGCAAAGAGAAGGTACTAAGAATGAATTTGGCTTCTTATTGTAGGTCAAACTAAGTCATTGGAAGGTCAAAGACAATGCCTGTTCTCTATTACTACTCTGTTGTATAGAGCTACATTAGTGCTACAGGAGCAACTGTTAATGAATCACTAATGCAGTATCCTGTAGTTTATCTGTGATTCATACTTACATGTTGTTTCAGCATATGTCTTCCCAAGTTTTAAATGTGACTTCTTAGGGAAATATTTGTAATCAAGGTAAAATCAGAAATAAAATCACTGAAGTATACAGTTTAGGTAGGAATGTACATTTTAAATAGGAATAGTATAGATTCACTGTTGTATTACATGCTTGATATTTTAAAAAAGAAGCAAATAATCCATAGGTAAATTATACTGTTATTAACTGTGTCATACAAAGTGTTTGTTTTATATTTAAATAAAACAAGTACCCTGTATATCAAAAACAATTTCTTTCATTTTAAAGAAATTGCATTTTCATTATCCCAAGAATTCCCTTCAAAATCCATGACATTCACTACTGTAGCATGTTTCCTAGGAACTTAATAAATTTTCTCTTTCCTTTTTATAAAGGTATAATGAAGACATAATTGTCAGCATTAGGAATTACATAAAAGATAACTAAGTGGTCTTAGTTACTAATTTTTACCAATCCAGAGGATTTTAGGTTTGCACTAGTGTTACAATTCCCTAACTAATTTATGTTAGTTAACCTATGCTAACTATGTTAACATAGTAACTTATGTTCTGAGGCTTTCACAAGAAACAAAATTCAGTGTTCTTGGATTCTGATGAGGGAATCAGAATACTTTTCTTTCCGTGCAAATAATGATATATAGAATGCTTCATACGTTTGATTTATGTCAAATATTTTAAGATCTAAATTGTGTGTGTTTCTCTTGTATTCAGTGAAGAAACAATTTTGCAGAGTTAAAGCTATCAATTAAATATCAGCTGCCACTTGATGGGTATTTAGTGTAAAAATCAGTAAACGAGTATATGTATTTATAGGACTGGACATTAAAGTATGTTTCAAGTTTAGATGTGATACAATGAAATAGTTACTGGTTTTCCCTCCTTTTTCCAACTTCCTCAATAAAGAAAGTAGGTAAATATCAGTATTTTTTATCAGCTTTTTTTTTTACATAAAAAAAAAACAGTAAAGCAAATTTTCCCAAAGCTACAAAACAATTAAAGAGTAGAGCCTGATTAAGTAAGTTTTCTCAGGTAAAGTACTCCATGAAGGTTGAAGTGTCAAGCAGAGGATTTGTTTTTATTGTTTTATTTAATTTTCCCTAGTATTTGCATACTTTTGGAATTCAAATAGGTTTTGGGGAGGAGGTGGGGAAGTGTTAGGGATGAGGATATTTATGAAATTGCTAAATATAAAATTTATGTTCTAGAAAATCAGAATCCAGCATTCATTGTTTTTTTTTGCCTCTTTCCATGCAATGTTATGGACAAGAAATCCAGAAATTCCAGCTGCATTTATGATAACAGGTTTTTTTTTTAATATTTGTTAAAAAAATGTGATCTTCTGACAAGAAAATGTGAATAGTGAAAATAAATCTATGATTGGATTTGTGTTTTGATCATTGTTTGAGGGGGTATCCTATTCAGTTTCACAGTTACATTTTTAAGGACAAGAAAATTAATGCTAACTGTAATCTAAGATACTATGATTTTAACTGTATGCATTTTCATGACTAGAGTCTGCAGTTCACTATCCCAGTCATAAATGGATACTTCTTGTGGTTTATCTTGACAATGTTCCTTTAAGTATGTACTTACTCCCTTGATTATCATGCCTAGAAACAGAACATATTTTTCTGTTATTTTTTTTTTTAATTTGGATAATTTAGAAGTTGCTTAGCTGTCTGTAATAACTTCACCATAGGTGAAGAGATGCCTTCAGTCATAGTTGTCAATGGTGTTTAAAATGTAAAGCATACATAAATATACATATATATATAAACCTTTCTTTTTCCTGAATCAATGTAAACAGAGCCCAGATGGCCGTATAGAAGTCAAAGGGCAGCGTGGAAAATCGTCACTGCATATTAAAGATGTGAAGTTGTCAGATTCAGGGAGATATGACTGTGAAGCTGCAAGTAGAATTGGTGGGCACCAGAAGAGCATGTACCTTGATATTGAATGTAAGTTCTAATATTCTTTTTCTCTTTAGATTTGTTTTAAAAAATAAAAAAATAAGTACATTCTTAATGGAAGGTCAGTTTTTTTCCTAGCTCTCTAAGTTACTAATCCCCATCAAGTCTCTAGCTCCTCTTATAACCCCTCCTGGATTTATAAAGCTTGTGACAATCTCTTCTAGAGATTGTCTTTCTTCAAAGCCTTTGAATTTTATCCAGGAGAAAAGGATATTATATTTTGCTTAGAGGGTCTTTAGAAGGCAATCAGAGAATACAAATTTTAAATACATAAAAATTCATCGGAAAATTATCTCTTCAAACTGTTCTAATTCAGGAAGCGAAGCTCTTAGAAAAGGCAAAAAAAAAAAAAAAAAAAAAAAGACAAAAAATCCTTCTATTTCATTGTTGTTCTGTTTTGCTAGAGATTTTCCAGAGAAATTTGTTCTTCATTTCCAATATGGCTTGAGTGGGCCTGTTTGAGATTCAGACTCTGGACAGAAAATGTCTTTCCAGTGGGAGGACAGATGTTGGAATAGGATCTGTGACACAGAAAGATAAGCAGCAGTTGGAAACTGCTGAGTGATTTCCTAAGGAGTTCTTAAAGTTGCTTTAGTATATACAGTTGCATGTTCCATCTTTTTGACAGGTAATGCATTATGACACAGGAAATAAATCTGCAAGGAAAATGAGAAATGGACAAAGTTGTAATTGGATGTTAGGAATGGAGAGATTTCCCAACCCATGAGACCTAAAAAATAAATATACTATTAATAGCTTTACATAGCTACTCTTCAAAAAATAGACCTATGAAAGGATTTGAAACTTTGCAAAATATTATTACTCTTTTGAGAACATACTAATGTACTCTGCTCGTATCCTTAGGTTCACTGGTGCACTGATAACTATCTTTATATGTATATAAATTAAAGAAAATATTTTGCTAGATAAAAATGCAAGTTAGTGAAGTTTCTGTAAAATTTATATAAAATCCCATCCTATTCTACACACTAATATGAAGTATTTTATAGATTGTATAATATATATAATACATGTAACATATAACATTTGTATATATTATAAGGTTTTATGGTTGTTATGCCTTGAAATCAAATATTAATAATTTTTGTATTGAGGGGAGTATAGACCACATTTTATGAAACATGGGTGACTGGAGTTTATGAATTTATTAACAGCACAGAATTCTTACTAAAGGACATAATAAAATCCTTGATACCTTATTATAGTCTTAAGACACATTTCAAAGTGAGTGTTTTAGAACAGTTGCTAAGAATTTTAAAGTGACATATTCTCATTATGTTATTGCAGACCTAATCTTGAATATGTGTGGAGACAATCAGATATAGTGTTTGAGAAAATATAATAGCATATTGTTTAGACACACTTCTTAATGCAACATAAAACTTTCTAGAGTTCAGAAATCTTCTGAGAAGAAAATTTTTAAAACATAGATATTATATCATCACTGTAATGACTATTTTTACTGTATAACGAAATAAATTGCATTAATTATTGTATTATAATGCAGCAGAAATATTTGGGGTGTGATGCAATATTCTGATTAGTGAGTCAGAGGATTTTTTTTTCTTCCCTTGGAAATAATTTTGCACTGGTGTATGAACTGCAGGCATAGCCTTTTTGTCTTGCTTAGGAATTTTTATTATTTTTCATAATATTCCAATATAAGCCTCAATAACTGTTTTAAAATTAAAACAGAAATAAATAAGCGAGACATTATTTTTTTGTATTGTTCCATATCTCCTAGATAGGACTAATCAATGCACCTATGCCATTCTGTAAGTTAATAAAAAATCTACAACAGTTCTCTTTTTATACTTCAAAATATTTGAAAGTTTTTGTAGTCAGGAGAGGAGCACACTCCCATCACATCCTTAAATGTCAGTGCAGTTAAACAATCCTAATGGAGGCACAGAGTGCTCTGGTGTCAATGTCTCATTCTTTTACTTAGTGACCCCTATCAGACATAAACCAACAGTAGGATTGCAGAGACTTTCTGTACCTTATCCTTGTTCTCTGTTAGGGTTGCTCTTGATGATAAGAGCAGTTCTTTCGGAGAGGAAGAGATTATCAGGTTTGATACCAAATAGGCACAGTTAACCCTACCTTTTATCTGAAGTAAATGCTAGGCAGACAGGAATTATAGGGAACCCAGAGGCATTTGTAAGGCTTTCTTCCTACAAAGTCATCTTCATGGACAGTTATGTTTAGTTTTCCTAATATTAAGTATATGAAAAAAAAAACATGAAAAAAATGTATCATTAAAAGTATTTATTCATGGATTTCATTAACTGTGAAATTTGATTATACATATGAAGTGTAGTGTCTGTTGGATAATAATAGTTACTATTCCTACTCATAATAACTAACTGATGTAGAAGTTACTGTGCGATGGCATATATGACATATACTAGGTATTGGCAATAAAGATGTGTCTTTAGTGATAAAAACCATGATAAAAATATATAGTAGATGAAGCAGGACATACTTTAAGATGAGGTTTTCCGAAGAACACAAGGAAGCTAAATGTACAAATCCAGGTGAATTATCACTTGATTTGTACATGTAACAGTATCAGTCTATTTTCAAAGTTGGAGATTTCCTATGCATATATTTTCATTTCTATATGGCATTTTTGTATTTTTAGCTGAGATGTAATTATTTTGAAAAATATATGTTAGGATTATAAAGGAATCTTAGAACGCATAATACAGACCTGACTAAAAGAAGAAAAATTCTTATGAGAGAACACATTATTTATTGGGTTCCACAAATTATTCACTGCTTTGATTAGTATTAGGAAATGAAAAGAATATTATTTTTACATCATTCTTCATAGTATTATGCCGTTAGGATTCACTGATGGTATTAATAAATTGGAAAGGATTTAAACAAGCCAGTAACGGCAAGCAGTCTGTGATCCTTGAAAGTGGTTCTCTACTTGCCCTGACAGTTATATCTTCATTTTGTTCAAAGTATTTGCAGCACTTATTTTGTACTCCTAGGTGCACATTATTGTGCAAGATGCTGATCTCTCTGATTGCTCTCTATCACCAAGTACAAATTCCTTTAGAGAATGCTTCTGTTACTGGAGAAAACATATTAAGCCATATTCTTTGGAAGTCTGCTTTTCTGTATACTACCTGGGAAACATCCTAACTTGCAGTCTTAGATAACTGTAATTACCAGTTTTCATATCACTCTGTTTCAGTTAAAACTCCCCAGTTTCATTATTGATAACGCACAATGGTCCAAAAAATGCCTACTTCCACACTGTACACAAAGACTAGTGTTTTGGAATATAATCAACTATGATAAATGTGTTACATTCAGTAATATGGTGCATTTTTTCCTACCACAGAGAATATTTCTTAGAAAGCAATTTCTAAAAAAACACATTTTAATAATTTTAAAATGTCTTAACAAAAATGAATTTTTCTTACCTCTGGTTTTCATGCAAACCTGAATTTTAAAGTTATGTTTCTTACTAGTTAAGTGCCAACATTCAGCTGGTACTTTTGATGGAACCAAAAAAAAATTGTATATAGCCTGTGCAACATTGTCTTTACCTGTAAAGAAACCTGTGCAGTGTTCATTATGCTACTGCATTGCTCATCAGAGAAAGATTTTTTTTTTCCCTACCACAATTTGAAATGAACCTCATTGCTGTTAAAATATTGAACTTTTTTCCTGAGTTAATTAATCTTCTGACTCTTCATTTTGTTTTATGTTAGTTAGCTGTATTGCAATTGCACTGCAGTTAAGGCAGATGCCTTGGATTCATGCTGTTTGATTTTACATCTTTACAAAAATATACAGCATGATTTAAAAGCAGGTTGAACAAGCAGAGCTACTAATTCCATTTAACTTGAAGGAAGCAAGGCTTTGAATCAGTGGAAATACTACTACTGCGCGCAGGATGTCACAAGCGTAACAAATGTCACAAATGTTGCAGCTACCTGCTGCTATCATAAACTGTAATAAATGAAGACAGTTCATACTTTGGATTTGATTTCTGTTGAAAGAAATCAGTTTAGCAACATACCATCACTGGTCACAGAATCACAGGATGGTGAGATTGGAAGTGATTGCCTCTTGTCCTGTCCCTGGACACAACTGAAAAGAGCCTGGCTCCATCTTTTCACCTACTCTTCAGCTATTAATCATGAGAGCCCAGCCCTAACTTTAACAGACAGGAAACAAAACTGATAAACACAATCATATGGCCTAAGAAAGAGACAAATGACAGGAAAAGCAATCAAGAGAAACAAAAAGTTGAAATATTCTGGAAAATTATGCATGTTTTCTATTACAATACTAATGGGTTTAGTGAAATTTCTGTCAAATTTATAGGTTAAAATGAGAAAGCAAACACAGAAAAGGTCAGTCTTCAGCATCATGAAATGCACGTGATAATTTTGACATGACTTTGGAGCTCATGAATGTCACTTGTAAGAGTTCCAATTTTCATTTGGTTACTTGTGCATTTGCATAGAAGAAAATTTGGTATGCCATTGCTGTAAATTAAAGGGGATAAGAACGTTGAATTCTGGTCAAAAGATGAGGTTTATTGCACAAAGTCACTTTGCAAAAAACATTTAATCAAAACTCACTGTACTGAGGCAGAGATGAATGCATATGTCTTTTTCTGACGTCACAACAGCAAATGTGGCAAAGTGGCTAAAATGATACTTTGTTCATCTGTATAATAAATCTACCTACTTTTTAGGGCAAGAGGGTGTAAAGATACTTTTAGAATAGAAATTCCACCATAAAAACTTTTGTCAAGTTCATGACTTGTTAAAATGCGATAGTCATGTTAGGAATTTCTCTAAATTTTTACCTAATAGAGCTCTATACGGCATGTTTTTGTTGACCTTACAATGAGCTTAATGTCATTTAAAGTAGATCTTTAATAGCATGTTGGCTATTTTTCTTTTAATAGAAGAATGCAATTTGGAATATATACAATATTTAGCTTTTATTCTGTTTTTCTTCTGATTATTTACTCATACTATTAATAGGTGTGTATGCCTCAGCATCCTTTCTTACTGACATAATTTTGCACATATGCAATTCTGAAAAATAAAGATACAAAAAAAGGCAAGAAAGAATTTTCTGATGTTTCCTTGAAGATGGTTCTAAGTTTTGAGTTGGTCTTACAGGCTAAAAATGTTAAATGTTTAAATTGATAATTGATGTGTAAATTTTAAACTGATTTTTGTACTTCCAAAATTCAGCAGAATTTTGCAAGTCATTGTTAAGTGTTATACAGTGATGACCTGTGAGTGAAAAAAATCAACATAGCCTTTGTCCTGTACCTCCAAGACAGATCCAGCAGAGCACAAGCAATACACCTAAGAGTTATGAAGAAAATCATCAGGTGGTATGATAAGTGTGATTCTGAAATTTTGAAATTTGAACAAAATACCTTAAATTGAGATTTATAAACTCAACACTTTTTTTTTCCTCAATTAACTTCCCTTAACTGCAGAATACTTGGCATTACTTAAAGTTTAGGTTGAAAGAGAGACCTCAGTATATTTAGAGTAAACCTGAGACATGTAGTTTTGGTTGTAGTTATCTGAGGCCAGGTCCCTCACACCACAGAGCCTGCCTCTGAGCTACAGTTATTCAACACATTGGAAGAAGCACAGGGCTAATGTAAAGAGGGAAATACCTGGTGAGTTTGAGTACACTGTACTGGAGATCTGAGGGATATAAGTTACAGGTATATTAGGGGTGCAGCATGCTGGAAATCGAGTTGGATATACAGGGTAATTTAAACAATTCCATTTGGTTTTTTAGTCTGTTCCTTAATGTTTCTTAGAGATTTTTTTTGTTGTTTTTTTCTGGATAGCACTCTGTGTAAAAACCATAGATTCATAGAATGGTTAAGGTTGGAAAGGACCTTAACATTATCTGGTTCCAAACTCCCTGCCTGGAGAGTTTCTTCTACTTTATCTCCAAGAAAAAGCTATTCATCCCAAAACATAAAATATTAACTACTGCAAAACAGGTATGGGGGGAAAATATACAAGAGAAAGATGGATGGCTATTAACTAAATTGTGGCAGACTTACAAAAAATTAAGGTACTTTTACAGCATTGATGGCAAGGAAAGTACTAAATTTGGTAGATGAAGTGGTTTATTAAAGTCCTTGATGATAGGAAGCTTATGCCGGTATTAACTTTCTAAGAGAGAGCCTTCCAATAATATGCTATACGAAAAGCCCCAGCATCTTAGACCTGGCAGTCTAAGACCTATGTTTTCATTGTGTGAACCAGGAAAACAAAATTATTTGAGGAAGAAATAGCCAAAAGTTTGAAAACCTGCATCCTTAAATTAAGAAGTGCAAATCTGATTCTGTACACTAGGGTTTTTTTCATAGTTGTCTGGACACATGTGCTGAATCAGGTAATTTGCCATATCCACTTTTGTGTATAATGTCAAACATACCCCAGAGGCAGATCGTTGAAGTTCTTAATTGAATTAACTTCTGGATGAGACTGATGATGTATTAGCCTGTTTTAGAATCACTGTTCTCAGATATTATACCTAACAAGGATATCTAAATGCTAAAGACAGATTTCAGGCCAGAGTTTACTTCTCTTTCATAGTCTTCTTATGCAGGTTATCCAGAACTACTTCTAATTGGAGTTCTGACCTGTCAGTTTCTTTCTTGTTTGGGAAAACAAACAGCTTGAGTTTAGCTGGTACTGGTGCCATAATATTAACTACTCTAAAATGCCATAGTAAAGTTATAATTGCTTACAGAATCCTACTCTGATAGAATAGTTTTATTTTGTTTTGTACCTTTATGATGTTGTCTTTGTTCCTTCTAGGCATCTTTTTCATTTGGATTGCCTCATGCGTCCAAAAATAATAACCTTTCACAGTTTAAGCTTATAGCAGTACTTACAAGCTTTACCTTATTCTGGGCTGAATAAAAAGAAGCATGACCAGCAGTGATTCTCCCCCTTTACTCACCTTTTGTGAGATGCCAGCTGGAATACCATGTCCAGCTCTGCAGTCCCCAGCACAAGAAAGACATGGACCTGTTAGAGCAGGTCCAGAGGAGGGCCACAGAGATGATCAGAGGCCTCGAATATCTCTCCCATGAAGAAAGACTGAGAGGTTTTGGGTTGTTCAGCCTGGAGAAGGCTCCGGGGAGACCTTACAGGAGCCTTCCAATACCTAGAGGGGGCCTATAAAGAAAGCTGGAGAGGGGCTTTTTACAAGGGTGATAGGACCAGGGGTAGTGGCTTTAAACTGAAAGAGGGTAGTTTTATACTAGATATTAGAAAGAAATTATTTACTGTGAGGGTGCTGAGGCACTGAAACAGGTTGCCCAGAGAAGTTGTGGTTGCCCCATCCCTGGAAGCATTCAAGGCCAGGCTGGATGGGCTTTGAGCAGCCTAGTCAATTGGAAGGTGTCCCTGCCCACTGGATGATCTTTAAGGACCCTTCCAACCCAACCCACTCTATGATTCTATGATTTATTGTGTGCCTATACTAACTAATATGAACAGTAACTTTGGTACTTTCCTGAAGGTTTTCAGGTTTTTTAGTAGAGTGCCATGAGGTTCAGATACAATAAATGTCATCAGATTGCATTTTTTAAAACACTGGATTGTATTCAATCTTCTAATTCTGTATATAACTATTTAAAAGTCCAGTATGTTGTCTTAACTGGTAGAACACCGTGTGCAAAAGCTTAAAAAGAACAGTTCATTTACACCCTGGATTGATTTTTCTTTTTTTTTTTTGGTCAGGCATAAATTAACCCTGAGTTATCTAGAAGATAAGCAGAGCATATTTTTTATTTTTTAATGGTTTTAACCTTTTTTACTGATCTTGATGGGAGCTTTTTTTCTCATTTCATACTGTAAATATATTCTGTTTAAGTATCCTTAACATATATTAATATATTACAAGGTCCATCTTCTCATTTCTACTTGGTTATACTTCATTTTCAGTTGCTAGACTTTCTCAATAAATGTTCTGTTTATTAATTTAGTCATTTCTTAGATATTCTAGAGAACTGGAGGAATCAGATTTGTAGACGTAGAAAATAGTCAACCTTGTGTTTTCAAAGCCTTAGCTTTAAGGTTTGTTATTTTTTCATACCCATACATATTGTGTGTTTCTGTAGTTATACTAACAGTAATTCTGTAACCACTTAAGCATAATATACTACAGCTAGTGATGAAAAGCATGCAAGAAAATGCAAAATTCTGCAGAAAAAAAATAAAAAGGTGTTTTAAACCATTCCCAATGCTAAACTTTACTGCATAGTCAAACGTGCTCAGTTCTGGTCTCTGATACACCTACTAGTAATTTTCTACCCAAAAATATTTCAAGAAGATTAGAATAGAATTTTCAGACACACATATAAAAATATTTAGGAACTATTTATGGAAAAAAAATATAAATAGATGCATTTTAAATATTGAAAGAGATACCATGACACCAGCTGTAATTGATAATTCTGTTTTGGTATTGAAGTGCTAGAGAGTTTCCCTGACTTGCAGTAATGTAAGGAATATTTTCTTAATACTTCTTAAATACAATACAAGTGGGATTAAAATTAAAAAAAAAAAAAAATTTGCAAATATTGAATAGACTAAAAATGTGGTTTACCCAGGACACAAATAGAAGAACAGGGAAAGTTCTACTGCCTCTCATTTTCTAGAGACCGTTAAACTGCTCCTGCACCTTAGAGAAAGAGTGATTAAAAGAGATACTTCTTTTCCTGGTGGCATTGTGATCTGAAAGTCATAGTTAGTTTGCATGCCAGCAATTTCCTCTGTGTCATACTCAGTGTTTGGAGTTAATATTAACATAGCCATTTATAGGCAGGTTTTTAAGGAAGACGCACCATGTTTTTATTTGTCTGTAGCTTTCTGATTTCATAAGAAAGTGGTGTAAAGATTATCCTAAGTACTGATACACATAGTACTTTTTTTCTGACATACATAGAATATATTGCAACATTTTAGGTATTCTGTTATTTATTTTCTTCTAGGTTTATTCACACAACTAAACATCTCTCTTCAGAAACATTTCATAAACTATAAGAGTTCCAGTGAGAAGGGGTTGAAGCTCTTACACATCTGTGAAAATTTGGAGACTGAGTGTAATTTCTCCATAGCAAAAGAAGAAACTATAAAATCAGCAAATTAACAAATTATAAATTTCAGAGATCACCTCCCTTTGTGATACAGTATCTGGCTGAAGAGCTCCTCATCTTCAGGAATAAACATTCTTTGTAATTTCTGAGATAATGTCTTTCTAAATGCTAAATACCTCCTAAATATAATTAGCAGGTATTCTCTTCCTGAGAATTTCAGCTGAAGGGGTTTCAGGAGAGGAGAATGCTAACAAAATAAAGGCTTAAGAAACTCAAGATTGAATACAGATGTTTTCATGGTGCATAATAAACTGACAAAGCAATCAGTTGAAATTTTAATGTGAACATGCATGCTTGGATAAAGGTATATAGTTTGTTTTACTAAAACACTTAATGTATTCATGTATTACTTTTTCCAGATGCTCCAACATTTGTGTCAAATCAAACTATGTATTACTCTTGGGAAGGTAATCCCATCAATATAAGCTGTGAGGTGCTAGCAAATCCGTCTGCCTCAGTTCAGTGGAGAAGAGGAAAATCAGTTTTACCGGTAAAAAACACAACACATCTGAAGACCTACAGTACAGGAAGAAAGCTGATTCTAGAGGTAAGGCTTAAAAGGGAAATGTGAAATGTAACTGTAAAAGGGAAACGTGGTGACATGTATATACAAAGTCCTTTGTATCCTTATGTGACTTCAGCCAAGAACAAAGCAGAAGGGTAAAGTGGTAAGGAACTGCAATTGGCTGTAACAGCTGTTTCTTCATGGAGGCATTGGAAAAATAAACTAAGCTGCTGTTATCTTAAAGGTACCTGTAAGAACAAAACATGAGAAAGGTAGGAGACAGAGACTGCATCTTAATTATCAATTTACTTTATTGACTTGGCTAAATTTGGAATGAAATTAGTGTATAGCAAACCATGGTCCTTAATTAATTCACAACAGAGTGTAACTGGTGTCTCCAGCCCCAGTCTCACCTGTTACAGGGATGACATACTGTCTTCCTACACAGACGTGGAAGACGTTAGTTTTCTTCATTTCTGTCTAGTTTCAGGCTTATGTCTGAGCGTAAGCTTCTCAGTTGCCATGGGAAAAAAAAGGCTGAGAAGCTATAAAGCTAAGCTGACTGGGGGACCTACTTCAGATCCCAAGCAAGAGGTTTACAGTGCACTGAAAAAAGAAAACCCAACTTTTTTTTCCTAAAGTCCAAGCAAGTAACCTCGATTCTCTAGTAGAGGATATATATTCTAAGAAATATAGTCTTACTCTTGTTTGAAGGTCATCTTTAGGGTTTTGTTTAACCCTATGTTGTTAAGTAAAGCTTAACAACATAAAATATGCTTCACAGTCTGTGGCTCTCCCATTCTACTGTCACCTGAAGAGTTGGTCAGGTAAGCTAGATTCCAGTGAGGCATTACCTCCCTATGATATCCATGATTTATTCTGTTGTAAATCCTTAACTCAACTGAATTTACAGTTGAGCCACATCCTGTTACACCTACTTTCTCCACACACACCACCTCCCCCCCTCCAATATCTGGTGTATTGTGAATCCTGCAAACAATAAAAAGTAAATTATTATTCTTGCAGCAGCTATAGGAATCGACAATTTTCAGACCTTTAGTTGCTTATTTAGTAAAAATATCAGTTTGTGCAAATAGCATATGTAAAAAAAATCTGTTTATTAGATTTTTTTTGTTTAAAATTATAAAGTTGAGCTATGTCCCCATTTTTCATTCTGATTTTTTTTTAACTTTGATATTTAATTAGAAACCAATATTTACAAACCATATTCATTTTAAAGATTGCTCCCACATCTGACAGTGATTTTGGACGGTATAATTGTACAGCCACAAACAGAATAGGAACAAGATATCAAGAGTATACACTTGGTCAAGCTGGTAAGTTTAAAGTTGTTCCCTTTTCTTTAAGTATTGTTTTATATTTTAATCAAAATTAAGTTCAGAGCCACTTTTCTCTGTTTATTTTATTTCAATGGAATGTTGGCAGTTAATTTTAATTCTCTGAAAGTTGAGTTGCAGTATAAAGTAAAATAAACCATTTCCCTCTGAATATGAGTCTTCTTTGGTTTTAATTGTAAGGCCTTCTGATATGGGAAAAAATAAATTAGTAACTTTTTTCCTTTGCCCTTACTACATCCTACATTTATAACTGTATTTTCATTACTTCACTGGAGAGATATGGTTTGCAGGCAGTAAAAATAAGAAAGAATTTGGAAAGTCATTTTTTCCTTTTTCTCCTTGATATTTTCTTGATAAACTAAGGATGTCAAAAGACTCAAGTTCTTCTGTCTTCATTTGCACTCTTAGTTATTTAAAAGCACAGTTTGACCCAGAATGCTAGGTTTAAATTTAAGTTCTGACATATTCTACAACCGACTGTTACAGAATTTCTGAATATTTTTAGGTCCATCTGTAGTTGTTTAGGGAAATATAAAAATATGATTGTATGTTTGTTCTTTGACAGAAATAATTGTTCACTGAGAGCAAACAAGAGTTTCTTAGTATTCTTTTCAGGTATATTTTCTTGTGGAATGGACTAATGCTTGTTGAGCAAGCTTTGAGGTCTCCCAACATTTGTATCTACATAGACAAGGCAAATTGTTCCAGTTTTAATGACATCTATGGAGTAATAATGCAGTTTGTAGTACCAAAGGTACAGCCGTACTGAAAGGTATACACCCCTTGTGATGTGTTGTTACAGACTTATTTTCATCATGTAACTTTCAGGTCATACCATACTGCCAGATTGGCTGATACTTATTGATGGGGACAGATAGAAACGAAGTCTTGTACATTAAAATAAAAAAAAAAAAAAGGAACTTGTATATTTTTTATGATCTTCAGTGTTTCAGCAGTAACTTTTGATTATTTTTTTTTTTTAAATAATAAAATAATCTCTTTTGAGCCCTGCTAGGAGGACTTCTGGGGGTACTTTGCTGAAATGTACACATCCAGTCATACAGAGGCTTTCTTACTCAGCCTGGTGTTTTAATTTTTACAGTTTTCCTCAATAGGTTGATTATTTTCCTTTGTCAGGAGTTACAAAGAATAGTTGTTTATTAAGAAATTTCTTAGTTGTGCACAGCATGTAAAATTTTTCTCATTGCCTCTAAAGGATGGATTACTAGCACACACTTTTACCATGTATATTATACTACTTTTTTGTCTTTGAATAGTGATCAAAAGTGCTGAGCTTCCTATCATAGGAAAATGTGGAGTTTTATTGACAGAACAGATTTCTATGTGCTACGATTTTACATTATCCAGAAGACCCATTCCCCTTAATTTTAGAACTTTTGGAGGATATTATCTGTATTGTTGATCTTTTGATAGCTACATGTGACTAATGAGAAATATATTAGGTTTTTCTCTTGTATGTAACCATCCCTAGCCCCAGCTAAGTCCTAATTTCATATAATACAGTCTTTACTTTCTATTTTACAAATCTCTCACCAATATAAGGAACCACATAGTTTTAGTTATACCTAGAATAATTTTATTTTTTGAAAAGAAATTCCAAAAGTGAACAGTTTATAGAATCTTCAGTCATGTTCATGATTGTTTAACTGGTTGATCCCATTTATTTCAGTGGAATTACTTGAACAATTGAGTTTCCATAATGGAGCTAAAATTACGACTCATCAGTACTAATGAGCAGCTCATCAGTACTACATGTGACATTAAATATGAAAAATGAATACTCTCTGTGATGTTCAAAATTGACGTAGTAATTGAAATGCTCTAAATTTTAAGGAAAAAGAACTAATTTCTATTCCATTATTAATTTCTATTCTGTCTGTAATTAAGAAATCTCAAGACGTGCAGGAAGTTAGCATTGATTTGAACAGGTAAACTACATCTATTATGTATATATTACTTCTGTCATCATTGAATTTAGGAAGTAGATTTAGCTCTCTAAAAAATCTCAGGGCATGATTATATAAATATTTGTGGCTGGCATACAATATGCAGAATTATATTAAATTCATCAAACATTAGGACTGTACATAACCCTCTGCTTTTAGTCAGTTACATCTGTTTCTCTTCAGTAGCATGCTGTCTCTTTAGGACAACACGTGCATCTGTAAATTCAACAGCAGCCCTGGTTCTGCCTGTCCTGCTGGGCTAGGTGCTACACTTGTCTCTGGAGTATCATCTCTAGGATTTGTTATGTGTGAAGCTTCACTGGAAGGGAAAAGCAGTATAAGTACAGTGTGAAATCTGCCATAATAATTTCTCAGTTTCTTAGTCTGGAAGACAGAAGACTTGCCACTACAATTCAGTGTTAAAATCAGGATAGGAATGGGAAGGAAAAACTCCACTTGCACCTCTCTGGTGTCTTCCTTCTCAGGGCAGAAAAAATGAGAAAATGGAACAGTAATGCCAATGAAAACAGAGAAACTCAGGTTATGGGTTTTGCTGTGCACTGTCTTTTCATAAAACTGTATGTATTTACAAGAGCATCTCAGCACATACTGTATCTGATAATATTTCTCTTAGAGTTGCAAAACAATGTCCGAGAATATTGCAGTGCAGGGTACTCCATGATGACTATTCTAATAATTAATTTTAATAAAAAGTATTTTTCATTATTAATTAGAAAAGAACACAATATTTTGGTTATGTATTGTACTTCAGCATATTCTCACATGAGAGCCCTGGAAATTCAAGAAAGAGCAAATAACTCCATGCAAGCCGTATTGCAATGGTGCAACATTTTTTTTGTTCTTCAGAAAGCTTGATGAATGCTTAAAAAAAAAGTATTGGAATTATGAAAAGGTCAGTCAGGGTATATTTAGTGAGTATGTGATGAATAAAGAATTACGGGAAGTTATTATGAAAAGCATGAGCTATATATAGACATTCTATATAATGATGTGAAATGAGTATGTATCCTTAACATTGTAGTGTAGAATTTGTGTGGGGCTAGGGGTGTCAGGCTCCATTATGCTAGGCACTACTTACAGGAGTGTAATGCATGTTTCAGCATTCTGAAAGGTTTACATTATTAGCATTTGCATCTAAATAGACTTTTTTAAAAATAAAAACCTACAAATAACGAATGTAGTTCACTGCTACAAGTTTTGCACTTAAGCTGGAATAAACTGGAAATGAAAAGCAACCAGGGAGATGGAGGATAAAGCCACCACAATAATTACAGATATAAAATGTCAAATGCAGCTTTCTTTCCAGTTTTACTACCTTTGTTGCTTCACTTTGGTAGATTAGGAATCCCTAATGAATTAAAACCCATAAAAATTTTTCGTACATTTCAATACAGACAGATCTCCTTCTGGCTTTGACTGTAAGTACTAATGCCGGGGCATAGCATGCTTTCACAATGGTTCTGTCAGGAAAAATAAATACTAGTTCTAGCTTGGAGACAGTATTAAGCAAAGTCTGCTGGTAGGATAAATTTTACAAATAATTATCATTTTACTGAATAGTTTCCTTAAAATTCTGCAGGAATGATGTGTTGCGTTGTGTTTTGTTCCATTTTTCTGCTTTGCCAGTTTTCAGCAGAATCAAACTACCTCTTTTTTTTAATTTATTACTAGTTAAAATGTAATCGTACTGTCACAATGCCATTATCTTTATTTCTGTTGCCCTTCTTAAAATATTATACTTACCAACAATAGAAAAAGTTTTCTTTCAGAATTTAAACGTGATTTGCAACCATACCATGTTGTCTGGAAAGAAAACTATAACTCAAATTATCCAGACCTACTGGATCAGCCTGAATTCCAAACACTTTAAACCTTTCAAAACAATTGAAGAATTGCAGCCTGTCTAAGGTTTCACACTGAAAGGTGCTGGCCTTTACTGGTAAATGCTGAGAAGCTTCTGTGATTTTTTAAAAGTTTAATCACCTTTTAATCACCTGACTTGTGATGATGAGCTCTTGAAAATACCATATGGTTGACATCCTCCTTTTTTCATTGCTTAAGCATTTAAATTGCTTTATAACTAACATGTAGAATGTGAAAAGAACCAGTCTTCTTCATTTCTTGCCACTGCAAATTTATTACTTCACATCACAACCACAACTTTTAGAAGCCTTCTTAGGCTCTGTTTTTTATCTGTGACAGGCTTAGGCTTTGGCAGGCCAGGTGAGCTTGGCTGATTATCCCAATGGCTTTCAGAGCCTAAGGTGAGCACAGATGTTCCTAGATTTGCCCAGCTGTAGCTTAGTCATAGTTTATGTGAAATATCAGTATGCAGAGAGATGGTATTAAGTAGCAAAACATTTTTCCTTTCTGTTATTTTAAATGTTTTTTTAGAGATAAACTTGACTCTTCAAGTAAATATTTGTTTTAAATATTAATGTTTATTTTGCACATAGCAGTGTACAGCTGGACCGAATCCAGAGATCCTTAAATATAAATCCCAATTCACTTCTATGTCTCATAGCCTTACTCATCTTAGATTTTGCTTACCCCTTCTTGTATTCTGGGATAGCAAAGGGGTTAAAAGTTCAGATAAATAGTCTGATTCATCTTTTTTACCTCAGTCTTTCTTCAGTCTTTGCACGTAGAATATACTTTCATTTTTAATGAAGGTTGAAATTCTGATCTTATAATATCATGCCTGGAACTGCACTCAGTACAGATTAAGTGTTAACAGGATCAACTGCTGGCAGAAACCGTATTAATAGGCAGTGAACATAGTTTAACAAATAGCTATGAGCCTAACCTGTAGAATTAATATTGAAATTTTTCTCAATTGTAAGGAAGTATAAGCATGTACTATTTCACAGACATTTTTGACTCCAAAGGTCTAGTCTGTAGCCCCATCTCTTTCCCTGCCCTGCTCCGGATACTACTTACGTTCAGCATTTAGACATAGTTACTTTTATTCAATATCTATATGCCAGATATACAGAGACAGGAAAAGCTGCAAAACTGCGCTAGGAGCATATTGACATGACATAGGAAACAAAAGCTAATTGGAAGATGAATCTCTGACCCCACGACCTACTCTCACATTATCACTTCCTTTTCTCCATTTACACCAGGACTGCTAAACTCTCAGAAGGAAAATTCTCTTCCATAAAACTATCAGGAAAAATAGCTTGAAAAGAAAATCCCCAGAATGGTGGTCATTTATTGAATGAGTTGGGTAATTGTAGTACTAGATTTGAAAGAGTACTTGCATATCAGCAGTAGGAAACATAAGGTTCTTCTTGAAGAATGTCTTCTTCCCTATGCCGTGTTTATTACAGTTAATCTCACGCAAATATAAAGATGCATGGAAAAGTGATCTCCTTAACATTATGAAAGTCAAGAACAAATTGTATATGTAAATAACACACTTCTGTTTCATAACATGAATCAAATAATTGTCCTGGTTGAAACTGAAGTAACAGTAATTGTCTTATAAAGAGAGCATACAGAAACTAACATAAAAATACCCTGAGTGTAACCAAATATTTATTCAGCCTTAAACAAAACCTTTTCTTTCATATTGAAATCTTTTAACGGAAAAGGAATAGAAGTGTTTAGAAACTATTTCTAATATTATAGGTATCCACAGCAGCTTTCAGCTTGCAGTTAAATCCAAAGAGCATTTATCTTCAGTACTGCTGAACTATATTAATCTTCCCAAGTGACTGGTATCCACTTCATTCATACAGTGATATACTTCTTCACTTCGTCTATCCTGGATTGCTTTTGCTGGCATTCTTATGTTCTGTTTTTCCCACCTCTGTCAGAACAGTAATTTGAGCTAGGGAGAGAAAGAATGGTGCTTAAGATACTGTGGCTATCAGGGAAAAAGAATAACATTTCTCTCAGCTATAATGAGAACCTGCAGGAAAGGAGTCACAGGCTGGTTCTAATCCTCATTCTCTTCTGATTTGGGGATCAATGCTTACGCAGCAAGCAACTCATAACTGTTTCTTCAACATTCTGTATCCTGATGAAACGAATGTTTCCTGGAATAAGATAGGATTGGAGGGTTTGTACCCCTCAAGCAGAGATTTGCATTCTACTCAAAACTTTAATATCATGGATTGATATAGTTGGGTCTTTTAAGTAAATAATACCAAAATTATTCATCCATGTAAATAAATCTATGCTGGTTTTAACCCAATAAGCACCAAGCACTAGAAGTGTCAGGAGACCTGTGTTCAGAAATGCTGACTATAAGAGGTATGATATTAGCATTAATACACTCTGACAACTGGAAAAAATTAGGTGCCTGATATTAAAAGGTTATACAGATCAGCCCCTTCAGAGTAGCTTTGGAAGGTGCCCTTTTCCTGAGAATTTGTGGCTGAATATGTCCTGTAATCCATTCTTAAATATTTTATTAACATTTTTTGGCTCATTTTCATTCACGTACAATACTGGGTGAAGCTCATGTTGATTCTCTGTTTATTCCCAACTCTCTGACAGCCCTTGAATAAAGACCACATTTCATGTAAATAGTTCAGTGCCCACTAACCAACTGATAGTCTTTGGCTCAAATTCTTACATGTCCTTATAAAAATATCTTCCATACCATGCAGACAAAAGTAATGCCAAACCTGTAAGTAGGTATGAAACAAAATTATCAGGTATATCAGAAAATAAATTATTCATGGTGTTTCAGATCCCTGGTATTCTGTCCGCAGAACTAAAATTCTTCCTAGTATTTTAAATTGTTTGTAGTTATTACACTTTAAAATGTAGCACAATTAGAAAAGTTAGTCTCTAGTCTTCTATGTGTTAGTTTGGTCTTACATTGTAAAAGTAACATGATGTTTCTCTTTTCAAAGATGTACAGATCCCAAGGTTATTTCTGTGCTTTTGTTTCGTATTTAGCATCTCAACACCTACAGGCACCTGCTTTATTTCATAGTTCTTTTCTATTTTGAAAGATAATGTACTTGCTTTTGATTTCAGAGAAAATGTTTCTTTCAACCTAGTCTTCTGAAAAAAAAAAGGATTCATGTTTTCAGCTATATTTCAGAGTTTCATAAAAATTGCTAAATTATTTGTACATTTTTGTCTTAATCTTATTTAGAAGAATTCAGACTCTGAATGATCTTTTAAGCCATAACTGTTCCTCTTGCTAAATTGGATTTAAAGTTTGTTATTCTCTTTCACGTAATTGTACAGTAAACAAATGAATCTCTTACATTGCCCTACGATGAAATTAGCTGTTAAAAAAGATTGTATTATAAAAGAAAGGCAGAAATTGAAAGTGGTTTTGCATAATTTTATCATACAAGAAAATAGATGCGGTTTTCTTACAGCTCTCTCTTAGAAAGCTTAAGCTGTTTATCTAAGGTAAACATTATTACAGCATATTGTAGATTTATTTTTTCACATTTTAAGATGCTAAGGAAACTTTTGGGGGTAAATTATCAACTGTTTAGGTCTGTCTAGTTGCTGCTGATTATTAAATAATGTTTGTAATTTTTTAGATGTGCCATCAAATCCTTCTGGAGTACGAGTTTTAGAGTTGTCACAAACTACTGCCAAAGTTTTGTTCAATAAGCCAGATTCACATGGAGGTGTGCCCATTCATCATTACCAAGTGGATGTAAAAGAGGTAGCCTCAGATACCTGGAAAATAGTTCGCTCCCATGGAGTTCAAAGTAAGTGCACAAGAAATAAATGCAAGTACATGCTGAGGTGGGATGTTTACATAGAGCAATGTTAACATAATACATTCAACAGATCCTCGTTTCATTACATCCATATTTAACCTTCAATTTTTTTAACAGGCACTGCAAGTTAAAGCAGCCCCAACCATCTTCTGATTTATACAGCAGGAAGTGAATGATAGTTTTGCAGCTATCAGCACAGTGATGGGAGAAAAAAATGTAGTATAGCATATGATCTAATGTGTGTTATTTCTTTGCCTTTTGCATCCCATAACCCACACACAAAAATGCTCTACTAAGCAGACCATGTTCCAAATCATGGAAGCATTTTAAAGAAAAATTAATGAACATGTAGTTAACATATATTCAAAGAAAGACTCCGTATCTTCTGTTTTTCTTAACCAAACACAGAAACTGTGTGTATAAATGTAATACTGTAAATCATAGTAGCATTAATTTTAGTCCAGTAAGCTAGTTTTTCTTTCAGTACTAGAAGATCTAAAGACAGTATGTTTCCTCCAGTTGCAGGGCATACGCATTAATGAACATTAGTCTACCTCTTCCCTTTTTTTCATGTTACGTTTCAGATCAAGTTTGACACTTTTTTCTCATAGCTGCTTCCTTCAGCAAATGGGCAATAACTTTCTCTGATGGGAACTACACTATACCAAATACAAAAACTGGAGTGACCAGTCTGAGTAATAGGGTGCAGTGTACTCAAATGAGGCCAAGCCCGGTAACTATGGAGTGCAATCATATGGATGCATAATTTAAATGTAAAGCCAGAAAAAAAAAAAAAAAAAAAAAAGTTCTATGTTAACTTTGTAGAAAAGTGTATTTGCGTTGCTTCCCATAAAGCTTTATTTTCTATTATTTCTATTAGTGTGAAGTTTATGAAAAGATTAATTGATTACATTAGGGAAAGATGTATAACTTGACAGACTCTTGTTATTAGAGTTGCCTGGAGCTTCCTGTGAAAGTTCACATTGATTTTGAAACATTCTTTCAGTGTTACATGGCCTTAAGTGGTAAACAGCTAATTTTGAAGGTTTCTGTATAACATGATTTGATCTTTTTGGAACTTTTGGAACAGTACAATAACTGTTTGAATTGTAATTTATTCTAAAAAACAGAGTAGAATGGCAGGTACAGAAACCTGCAATCATCATGAAGACAATACCACTGTGAAGTAGATTGTGGGTATTTAGGATCTCTGCTGCTGTTCCTAATAAAAGTGAATATACAGCTTCTTTGAGAAAAAGTCTCTAAATGCTGCCATGTTGTTTCCCTATGTCTTCCTTTTTCCAATTTGCCTTTTTGTAATTTATTCTCCTTTCTCACTTGGAAGTTTTCAGGGGGTTTGCCTTCTTTCAACCACATATTTTCCTCTTCATTTCATTGTCCCCCCAGTTGTACTGAGAATTTTGCTGAGAAAACAAAATAGGTCACACCAGTTTTGAACATCTTAAAGGTACCTCTGAATAGAATGTATTACCAAAGACTACTTTGAGTGATGACAAAACCTAGTAAATATGAAAACAACCTGAAAAGTCATCTTGGTCTACATCCAGCTATACTTAGTAATAGTTAAATATTGGGAAGATAAACTTTGCTGAGAGGACATTGGACAGTATTAAAAATTAATGATACATCCATATTTAATTAATGATGTTTTCTAAAATTTCTATTCATATACCCCTGTTTAGAAAGACTGAGATTGTATATCTTTTGTTTCTCTTAATTTATCTCTGAACTGCTTTAGAAATCAAAAACTATTTCAGAATTTCAAATATTTGCTAAGAAGGAACCATCTTGATTTTGTAAATGTTGATGCTACACTGTGTAATTTGATAGAGAAATCAAAAGGGACCCAGCCGCATTTATTGGAAGTTCTTGCAGATATTCTGTAATGAGTTAAAAGCTTGTTCTATTTGTGAGGTACTTTAGGGCCAAATCAGAAAAATAAGATGTGCTACCAGAACACATACTGAACATCCCAGAACAAAGTCTTTGCAGTTGAAGATGTCAAAAAAACACTCCTAGTGACCATTATTAAAACAAAAATACTGCTAAGTGTAGCTGGAATATTTCTGAAAAAAAAAACAGTCTTTGCTTGTTTCCAGCAAGTTTTCTGAAACATCTGATTAATCTCTCCATTTATGTTTTAGCCTACTTAGAGTGTCAGGGTAGGATAACATTGAGATATCCTCTTCTAACTCCCTACTTTCAGTTCGTAAAGAAAAATTTAGAGGCTTTTCTTAGTGGAAGGCTCTTCATTTTTCTTTAGGCTTTTTGAGACATTTAGGATACTTTTAAGTCTTTTGAATGATAATAGAAATTGCATGTTTTTCAGACAGTTTCTCATCTTACTTTGGTAACTAAGAACCACTTCCCCTGTGTGCCTCAACATCTTCTCAGCTGAGTGAGGAGGATGTTAGGCTACACACAGTCAGTATTCTGTATTATGATTTGTAGTTGGGTCATCATAATTTCCACACTTGGTCAATATTCCTTAATGGAAACAAAATCACTTCTTTTTCATCTGTTCACATTTTAGGGGCAAGTTTATGGCTAAGATTCAAATGTAAATGCTGTTTACACAGGGACAGTTAATTGCTTGCAAATCTCAAGTAATGATGCATACATAATGCATGAGTCATAATTTTTTCCCCAGCAGCCAAAGATAAACTATGCTGAAATTTCACAGGATGTCCTTTTATCAGACTGATTTAACTTGAAAGTGCTAAAACAGCACTGCAGCCCTTTCTTGCCATTCTTCAGTGTAGGTAATATGCAAGTTCTGAAACCATCTTTTGAAAGAAAGAGAGAGAAAAACCTACATGCAGGAGAAACTTATGCCTAGAAGACTGTTAGCCTTCCAGTACAGGGTCTGTGAAAGCTAAACCGCATCTTCCAATCCCTCTCTACTATGAGCAGAAGGAATAGTGTAATTGTCTTCATAAAATTTATGAAAACTGTATTCCTCAATGAAACAAATGTGGAAATGTCTGTACGGAAGTTAGTTTGTAACTAAAGTGATAATAAAAGATTAATAGATGTTTCAAAAAGTTTTTTAAAAGAAATTTCTTCTGAGGCTACTAAGTCATTAATTTTCTTGTTATTATGACCCTATAATTATGTCTAATAACTATAAGTAGAATCATAATTTTCTGGGTTTTTCTATGCAAAATATACAATAGATGCTTACAAAAATTGTTAGGCATACTTATGTAAGCAATAGTCCAGTAAATATAGATAAGTTTAATCAGAACAAATAAGCTGTATGAAATAGATTCAGTGCAAATCTATTCAATCAGCCTGCAGTTCATCTAGGAAGAACGCTGATTTCTTCAAAGAATCCCTCAAAACAGTGGTTTTTGACTCTAACTGTATTAGTTTGAACTGTTTTCAGGTCAAATTAAGGAGAAAATTCCAGTTTTGGAGCTCTAGCCAGGAATATCTGTTTCCTTATTCCCTCCCCATTATCTTTGATAATGAAGAAAATATTGTTTGAAAGTCTGCTGATTGCAGCTGTTGAAGGAGAAGGAGCTGTTGATTGTTGAAGGAGCAATCAATAAATCTGATACACCAACTTCAGCCTATAAAAGTCATAATCATTACTGTCATAGTTCACCAAGAGTTCAATGAGCTAAAGGTAGCCAGATTTTTTTCTCCACTTGTTAGGTACTCTTCTAAACATGAGAATTGTTTTGTTGAAGGATGGCTGCACTTTACAGTCACGGTGCAGCGGGGCTCCCTGTGGGCCAGTGACCTGAGGGAAGGTGGGTGGGTAGGGACAGTCAGGGCTAACAGTGCTCTCAGGACCCAGATGTTTATAACCCTGTCAGTAGTGTGAAGAAGACCATTGATCTTGAAGTAACAGAAGCGCAGATAATATAGGCAAGGTTCATTCCCTAAGGGCATTTGCATCCTTTCAGCAAGACAGCTGGTAAATCCCTGAGTGTGAGATGTTGCCCATGCACCATGAAGAAGGGGGTAACAATCAGTGAAGCGCATTTGCCATGCTTTTCTCTATAGACACAAGGAAACCAGCATGAAGGCCTAAGATACCTGTGCTGGGAAAAATTGACTTACCACAATCTTCTGTGTGATTTTATTAAAAAAAAAAAAAAAAAAAGGAGAGGTTTCCTGTTCCATTTCTGAGTAATCAGCAAAGACTTCATAAGAAAAAGCCTGCATTATTAAAAGCCTGTGAGATTCACTGGTATAACTCTAATAGTGAAGCAATTGAGTTCTTGTTTTGTCTTAATAGAATTATAAACATTGGTAATTCTGGTTCAGAGGCAGCAAATAATGCATTCATACTGAAAAGGATAATAAAAAGGACTTAGTTTATACACAAACCTAAACCACTGTGAAGGTGTACTTGAAATCCCCAAAAAAAAACATGCTCTGAAAACTTCTGTATGTCTTAAACAGGAATACAAAAAACTTTATTTCAAATCAGTCAACAAAAAAAAAAAAACAAACACAACACACCAGACAAATCAAAATGTATGGGCTTTTTTAGTGTCTTTAAGTTTTGGTTTTTTTTCAGGAGATGTTCTGTTGAGTTTCAAGTCTTTTGACCGAATTATTCCTGGACTTAGTTCAACATTTGTAGGACATTAACATAAAATGTTTTTTACAATGGAAATATTTCCAAAAGCATGGGGTATTTCTAAAAAAAAAACAACCAACCAAACAAACAAACAAAAAACCCCAGAAAATTAATGTAAGACATACTTTTCTGAATGTTTGCGTTTTGAAGCTTAATGGTCAAGTATGTTTTCTCTTTTGACATTTGAGATTTTTCTTTGGGTGGCAGAAAGCAGAAGCTTTATGAAATTACATGCCAAATATATGATTAATTATTGAATGCATTACTTGTAAATGTATTTCATGCAGTAATATCAAGACACATCAGAGATGCTTTATCGACATATGCTTTTTTATTGAATATTCTATGGAAGGAGACAATAATGTTCAAAGTCATATGGCAGCATAATCAGGCTGTGTATGGAAAACAGTTAAATCTTTATTTAATGTGTTTTTACAACTTTCCATTATAATGAAAAATGAAAAGATGCAAAATATTAAAACCTAAGAAATGTTGAAATATTCACTCTTTGTACAAGACAAGGAAATCCACTGATTGGTGGATAAGTAGCATTTAGCTGCATATCTGAAAAATAAGTATAACAAACAAAAATAATTCTTTTTTTTTTAAGAAAAAACATACTAAGGAAGTGTGTACAGCATCTTAATCTTATGCAAACTGAAGACCACGATGTTTATGATTTTAGTTTTAGCTATGAACATGTTCTCAAACTTTAACCACTACTGCTTGTATTTGATTTCAGCATAACTTTTTGCTATCTCTCCGGTTCTTGACAATTTGGATATCAAATCTGAAAGAAGTACTTATTTGTAATTTCACATTCAAATCTCAGCAGGTTCAGTTCTTTTTCATCTAAGTGCATTAAATTTCATGTGCTTCATGAAATCATAGAATAATTCTGAAAGAAAGGGACCATCTGCTCCAGACCCCTGCAGGTTACAGCAGGGCCAGCTTCAAAGCTTTCCTGGGGCTTTGTCTTGAGTTTTGAATATCTCTATACATGGAAATTTTGTATTAAGTGGCTTGTTTGTGAAATAAGGGGATTTTTAAAGAAGGTCCTGTCTGTACTATATTTTCATATGCATTTAAATCTTATAGTAGAGTAGTATTATATTTGAGAAATTATTTTCTGTTACCCAAGATACGTTTTTAAACTGCTGTGCTCTGTTATGCCTGGTACTGATACTCTTTTTACTACACATGTCCTTAAAGGGAGTTATGTACATGCCAGTGTACATAATAGATACATGGGTTAGAATTCACATGTACTACATCTTAGGTTATAGGTTTTGTACTTCCTGCTTGTTTTGTACTGAAGCATGATAGTATGTACCCATTGATTACTAAAACACCCAGTGTAACAATACTTCACCATAAAACTGGGAATTTTAAGATGGATTCTTGAGAGATATGAACCCCATATAATTTATACGTGAAGTCTCAGAGATTTTTGTACATGTTAAATGATGCCATAAGTAATTCAGAACATGTTTCTGAGTTCTGAATTCAGCGTCAGCATCTGATTCTCCATTTAGCAGTCTGGTAGGCAGGCAATTTGAGGCCTCTATCCAGCTTAATCTTCGCTGTAAAAGTCTCATGTCGATCGAAAAGTTCGACTATAAATAAATGCCTTAAACTAAATTACATGGATGGATTAGAGAACCTAGAAAGCGAGAAGAAGCGTAAAGGGAAAGCTAGGTTTAAATATTTCAGGGTTTTATGCAGAC